TGCCCCCCCCCCCCCCAAGAGAGAACATAGTCACAACACAATGGCTAAGTTCCCTGCCTCCCTGCTCACCCTTAAGGAACTCACTTATCAGTAGTGCCCCACCAGTAAAATAATCCTGACGCTGCCCCTGATTTATTTCTTTGTGTTGTTGCGCTATGCATAAATACCTGAGTAAGAAAATGCTTGTTCTGGGGAGAGTATATTGTGCCTATATTTTTACGAGACTAAAGTTTTTTTTGTGAGAAAAAATACCTGCCTGAGAAAATCGTAATTTGGGTCCACATTGAGACAAAATTTACACCACATGGGGCTCCAAGTGAAAATTAAATTTATACCTCAATCTGGAGCAAACAAACAGCTTTATGTGGCAAGTATTATCACTGGGCTACTCCACGCCATCTCTCCAAACCTTGGCGCTCGACCATTAGATATTAGCTTTAAAAAATTGAGGATCATATATTTATAGAGCAAGGGATGTTCCCCTGAAATGTTTCTTGACATACATTTTTCAGTACCGTAAGACGCATGCGAATTGTTTTCGGAAAGCTTGAAGCTTGACCCGTAAAATGTATTGCCAAAAAATCTGTTCTACATTCTCAATAATATTATCACTAACTCACTCCTATATTAAAATAAAGAAAAGTTTGTCCAATTGAACAGGGGTGTCCTTTTAACTTGAAATAATTTTTACGAACCCTTTCATGGGTGTTTATTGCTGCCTTAAGGAAGAGAAATATGGCCCATATTGGAGATTTTTTTCCATAGACAGATAATAGTGACATGAAATAGATTGTATTAACGAATTGTCAAGTAGTTTTTCTGTAGGCGGAAAATTACTTTAAACGTACGTAATGCAAAATAGTGTGGACAACTGGCGTCAAATTTTGCTAAAGAAAGCTTTTTTTTTGCTCATAAGTGGTCGTAAGTTTAACATTGACGTGTTCCAGGTAAAATATACTGAACAGTCGATTTAGTAGTGATTTTCATTGCGTAATGACTGAAAGTTTTTGTTTACTTTTTGTTTTAGGTGAGAAACTTATTCACTAGTTATCTTCGGTTTATCTAAGTTATCTGTGTACTTGCACGAGTTCATACCTTGTAAAAATGGATCCTAGCATGAAATACAAGCTGTGTGGAAGCGAGGAGCATTTAGAGAACATATTAAGCTTTGTTCAGGCTAATTGAAGTGATTTATTAGGGAGTATTAGCTTGGGTCCCTATCAAAATGTCAAAAATCAAGGCGCCGATTTATTAAAAGGTTGAATGTCAAAAAGCTGAAAAATTTAAATGCCATAGAATCGAAACACCTAAAACGACGAATGCTAGAAAATCAAAATGCTGAAAAGACGTATCGCCGAAAATTCTTCGAACCATGCACGCGAATACTCCTGATTCGGAGGGAAATGGACGAAGATGTGGCGGGGTGTGTTACCAAAAAGAAAAACCAATACTTTGTTGCAGTTGTGGTTATGTTTATGTTGTTGACAAGAAGGTGTATTCTAGGCACTGTTGGAGGTGCGAGAAGTGAAGAGACTGCAACGCCAGAGTGACTACCAACCTTCCTGTAGAAGGTACTCGCATGACAATCTCGAAGAAAGTGATCTACGACAGCCATGCAATTTCGGTTTATTACTACCATGAAGAAGAAGCAAGCCAGACTTCAAGGCATCGTCAAGGGAGCGACAACCCCACTGCTTACAGACCAAACTGTTTGCGATAAGCAAGAAATCACTCTGATGTGCGATTGGAGGTGGAAAAATTTATAGTTTGCTATTTTTATGAAGGCTTGAGATAAATGTAACGGCACAACTGGAAATGAGGGTGAACGAGTGTGCTGGTGTAACCTCTAATTTAGCTAGATACTTCATCTTCCAGTATAGCTAGGTGACGCAGACATTTTGATATTTCGGCGTTTGGATAGTTAGGTGTTTTTATTTTTTGACATTTTACACTTTCGGTATCTTGTATAATCGGCCTTTTGATTTTTCGGTGTTCTAAATTTCGGCATTCCAAAAGCTCGTCATTTTGATTTTCGGCATTTCGAGTGCCACATTATTATAGCTTTGGTCAACAATAAATGCGAACCCTACCAAAGTGCATTTAAACCACGTGCAGCTCTCCGCTTAGCGGGAAGTGATACCAACCTGTGCGACAAAAGCAAAGAATCCATAAAATTAAAAAAAAAATGTTGCATGACAGTGAAGTCAAAGTTATGAACTAACTGAAAAATATTTGAATGACCATGTTTAATTAACCAGTAATAATGTGTTGGTTTTTAATTGCAACTGATCCGCCGCGAAGCATACCTTTTTTTATTTTCGTGGATTCTTTGCATGATCGTTGTGCTGTATCAATTTATAAATCTTCGGGTGTAATTAACGAAGAGCTTGACACGTCAATATCCTTTCACAGTGTCAACATCTCTGCTCAACATCTTTCTGCAGAACACCACAGTCTAGATGGTGATGGTGTACAAGTCCTTCAATTAGCAGAAGTGGTCTCTTATGATGTGCTTTACTTTTCCAAGTGTGTGAGGCGTATAGTCTTCTATGCAGCCCCCCCAGAATAGGGTTAATTAAATGACTCATTGAAGAAGAGATACAAGCTAGTTTTCTCTGTGTACCAGCACCAAATAGCACATCGGCACTACTGCCGCGTGCTCCACATAGCACCACTCAAAAATTTTATTCAGAAACGCCATGATGAAAAATAGCAATGGGCAAAGTGCATGGTTTAACCCAACATTCTCGAAACTAGAGGTTTTCGTTACACCGGATGCACTGACAATAGCATAAAGGCTTTTACTTGCCGTCTTCGCACTCGCCATTATCAAGAGTTACAACATGCAACATCTGTGCACCGGGCCCCAGTGCATAAATCGGGTTTTCAGCAAAAATACGTCGCTTCTTTTAATCAAATTGTTCCGGAGGGAAAATGCCTGGTGATCGTATGCTTGGTAGTCTGTAGAAATTCCTGTAACTGCGTTGATACGGCTTATTGTACACCATTCTATAAAAGTGGCAGCGGGGCTTAACGCTCATGAACCACGGAAAAGCGCAGACAGAGAACAAGTACTCCCACGAGCAAACTTAGTTTTAAAAATGTTGGAGGGATTTCATTTTTCTCGGAGTATCATTTCTAGAAGTCATGTGCGGCGAATAAATATTTGTAGTACTTTAACCCAAATATATGCGAGTAACAACCACCTCATACCTCGGCTATATTATGAAGATATACTAGAATTACAAGACTTAAAAAAAAAAGCTATCGCTTTTTTTAAGTCTGCACGCCTTTTTCTAGTAAATGCACGTTACGTACGTCATTGTGACCACTACCAATTCCCTCTTGGAGTGAAAGTGTGCGTGCTTATGTGCGTGTGTCTGTAAAAGATGTTAAGATCGGCCTCCCTGGCTAGGCGCCGTTTGGACGCGGGGGACGATTGCAGCTAAGCCTACCCTGATTTGTTCCGGATCAACGCTCTCAAGGTGCGCCAAAAGCGGTGACAACACGAAAGTCATTCTTCGAATTCTTTAGGGCTGTTGGCTCCCCTCGTCAAAAACTCTTTGGACACGCCTGACTGACGGCCTAGGAAGAGCTGTTTGAAATCGAGGCTGCTTGATTTGTTCGACGTGCCACGAGACGCGCTGAACAATTGGCTGAGAGCTTGGGATCCCTGGTCAGGTATGTTTCCCACACTCTGTGGTGCTTGCAAGTCTTCCATTCTCACAAGCCCTAGCCTACCTAGCGCTGCAGACCCTATTCTGCGCATGCGATGCAATGTTATTGCACTGTGATGTGTTGGGCGTATTATTGCACTGTGATCTACGTTATGTTTCTCTCTCGCCGTGTGACGAACTGAACGTGCACCTTCTCTCTTTCCTGGGTTGAAAAGAAGGCAGTGTTTGACTTTCTCTCTCTTTCACCCTCTCTCGATTTTTCAATCCTTATTCGCTGCGCCCTGCGCTCTCTGCTGGGCTGCAGAAATTAGGCGCCTTCTAACTACTACCCCCCCCCCCCCCCCCCCCATTTGGCGGATAGAGATGAAGACGACCATTTCTTCGGACTGCCCTGAACTGAATGGACATGCAGTCTGTCGGTTTACAGTGATCTGCAAGGCGGCTTTCCTGTAAGGTTTGTTTTTCAACCAAAATTTCTCGTTCACAGGCTGCTTTTATTTCTCATTTTGAGCACACGAGTACAACAAAATGTCACCTCTCCAAATTACAGCGAAGGCACGCGAGCAGAGCAAGATCTCAAAAAATTGAATGGCAACAACGGAATGAGTAAGAAAAGCAGCCTGTGAACGAGAGTTTTTGTGTTTTTGTTTGAAAAACTAACCTTACAGAAAAGGTGCCTAGCAGATTATTGCAAACTGTCCATTGTTTTTCCTGCAGAGAATTTCTGGAAGACCAGGGCGTAACGCGCGAGCACCGAGACGCTCTGAACCAGCTCTCAGAAGCTCCCATCAAGCTTCCATGACGCTACCATCTACGTATATATAATATTCATATGGATGTAAAACGGCATCATTATCAGTCCAAGATGGCAGCCTATGATCGTGCCCGAAACAAGGCGTATACACAGAAGAAATGAAGTGGTAGCAGTTTAGCACGAATGCAGCGCGTTAGGTGAACTACACAATATTATATTTATTTTTTGTCAATTTGTCCATTATGCCATTTCATGCAGCGGCCGCCGAACTTGTGCCGCTGTTCATAGTGGTACTCTCGGTCTCTGAAGCTGGATGAAGATAACTAAGAAGCCTGTTTTTTACTGGCTACGTAAATGTGAAACGAAGCTATAAATCCAGATGAAAAAGAAAAAGACAAATCTGTGAAAATTCGGTACTGGTGCATAAATGGCGCGCCGATTGCGCCGATGAAAAACGTCGTCGGCGGCGGCGCGCCGATCAGTTAGCGTCGGCGGCGGCGGCGAAAACTTTTGGCGGCGGCGCGCCGACCAGTCGGCGCACACCTCTAATTTTTGCCGTCCGTACTCACGCGAGACATCAAAATAGGGAAAGCCTCTGGAGCGTAGCTCTTTGTGAACGCTTGAGGGTGTGGGCAGGTGTCGGATGCACGCTCTACTGCCGGGGTTGATATGGGAGCATGGGCATGGTTTGCGTCGACTTGTGACGGTGGCAGCAAGGTTCACCAGTAATGCGCTGTTTGTAGTTTAGGACGTCTAGATCGGCCCTGCTGAACATGCGGACTGTGGGATGGCGGCACCGACTGCTTTGGCATTGCAGGCAGCGTCCAGCAACGCGCAGCTAACGCGCACTTTGGAGCGGCTTCTGGAGGAGGCCCAACACACTGGAGATCTCAAGTTGAACGGCCGCAAGTTGAAAGAACTACCCACTTATGCGGCTAAATACGACCTTCGGGACATAGTGCACGCAGGTGAGAATGGTGCCTCGCTTTGCATGTTGGGCGCAGCGATCTTCACCGGATGTGGGATGTCCGGGGCTTGGTGGTAGCAGGGGCATATGAGAAGCCGAATTTTCAGTGCCACCGCTCGCGAGACCTCCCGTGCTCCAGTCGGAGACGCGTTGCTGCTGGCCGCGCCCGTCAGCTTAGATCCTCCGCGAGAGAACCTCGAGTAAGCTGAACTGCAATGTTGCGTGGAGAGCGCGACGCTGGACCCTTTGCGAACAAGATAGCTGTCGATTGGGTCTGCCTCAGAGGCACGCCGAGGAGCGCAGCAATAATTTTGGGCTGCTCCACGCTATGTAAATGCTGAAGTGCAGTGCACGCCCTGTGTTTCTCTATTCGCATCATCTGTGGGCGCTCACACCTCGGGATGGGCTCATTGCCATCATTTCGCCTTGTTTCTTTAGTTGTCATCTAAGGACTTTACTTTCCTTACGTTGCGGCCGTTTGGCTGTTGTGTCCCGTCTTCACAAAGCAGGGCTGTGCAGTCGACGCAGTCGTTTTTCCTCTGCTTGCTTAGCCCCGACAGCAGAATCTGTTCTCGGCGACCCACTTAAATGTGCTTTTACAGTGCGACATTATATCAGCGCAGACACGAGGCACACGATCGGCCGACAAGTCGCCTACCGAAAAGAATGGCGAGGTTTGGAGTAGCGCACCGCGGGCCCTTGCGGTGCGGTCACTGCCAGCCACTGCGCATGTGTCGTAACGTGAGCCGCCGTTCGCGGCCCGCCCGTAGAAATTACTAAATAGCGTGCGGCGATCGCGGCCCGCGAGGTCCGCACAGTGCTGTGTTTAGCTTAGTGCTGCTAACTCTTTCTGGGGTGAAGTCGCCAATTTCAGCCAAAAGTCGCTAAATGATGATGATGGTTTTCCTGAGTTTTTTAGTTTTCGACTGGATAAAGCACGTGAAGGGATTATTTTTAAACAATGATTTAAATATGTTTCTGCTGTGGTGAATAAAGTGAGCAGTCAGAATAAAATAATAATTTCTCGTGTTGGACTGCACTGTTCAGTTTTGGCCTGATTGATGGATTTGTGGGGTTTAACGTCCCAAAACCACCATATGATTATGAGAGACGCCGTAGTGGAGGGCTCCGGAAATTTTGACCACCTGGGGTTCTTTAACGTGCACCCAAATCTGAGTACACGGGCCTACAACATTTCCGCCTCCATCGGAAATGCAGCCTGCCACAGCCGGGAATTGATCCCGCGACCTGCGGGTCAGCAGCCGAGTACCTTAGCTACTAGACCACCGTGGCTCAGTTTTGGCCTGGACAAGCAACTCTGGGTCAGCCGGGAGACACGGGATTCGCGCAATAAACTTCTAGGGCTGTGTTCCAATTCTTAGACAGCACGTAGACAATCTACGTAGTAGACTGCTCTTGGACAGCACTGAGTCCATGCTGTCCGAGAATTGAAACACTTCTGGACGGCTTTTACGCGACGATGCGCCACCTCGCGGCGAGAAGAAAAAGCTAAAATAAACAAGCGTAACAATTGTATTTTCTGGCTTATTTCGTGTTGAAATCCAAAACAAATGAACGTTGCGTCTGGGAAAGCGTCTGCTTGTGTGCAGATGACCATTCAGGCGAGATTTGATCTATCTGAGCGATTTTCTGAGCCGTCATCTTGTTTAGACAGCAAAGTAGCCTGCATCGTATTTGTCGACAATGCGCTCTTCTCGGAGCTGTCTATTTTGCCGGCTACGTGAAAATTGGAATGGGAATTAAGATGACCATCGTTCATTTAGCCGTCTGCGGTGAGTATTGGAACACACCCTAGGTCGGAACCCAGCACAGCACTGCCAGAAATTAATAAAAGTTTTCCTCTCACTCTCCGTGAAGCAGAGAAATGCGTGGTGTGCATAAATTTTATGCATGCACGCTTTTTCCGCCTCATGATAGTACCTCATTTCCATAATAGGGCCCATACTTTGTCAATTTGCTTTGTCAATTTGCTTTTAGCAATAACCTACTTCATACACAGCTGCTATCTAACGTTTGATGTAATGTATTACCACAATGTTGGGAACCAGTAAAAACTAAGATTATTTTGTTGGACACATTTCACTCAAGTCGATCGTTTGACCAAGTATCATTGCCTATAAGATATTTTAACTTGTTTTAAAGCGAAGGTGAGTGTGCGTCCGAGTATTCCGGTAAAATCGACATTTTCTGTGGTTTTACATGGACAGAGGCTCCCCTCATGACGTTGCAGAGGCCAAGCAAGTATTGTCGGCATCAGAGAACGTTTTCGGGGCGAGCACAATACCCTGAATGCCATCCAGAGAGGACTATTATTCGTCACCCCTCTCGCTCTGTTGTCGGGCTGCTCTCGAGGTGGCCTTCTCTGCTTATGCCAGGAATGCTTTTATTTTTCCCGAGGGGAACACGCTCAGCGCACCCTTATCGTTCTATTCTTCACCGCCCTCGGGTCACCCTATTTGGAAACTGCACGTTCAGCGTCACCGAAGCTTGAGCGCATGTAGTCTCAGGCGCTGCCCCGCTGAGCGGCGCTAGTTTCTTATGGTATTTAGGCAGGCGTTTTGAACTGAAGCAAATTTGTCCTGAATTAATCACGCTAGCATCAATTATACAATGCGTTAAAGCATTTACGATTGACTTTTGGCATTGCCAGATGCAAATCTATAGATTACTGTAAAAGGTTGCAAACAAAACTTTTGCTGTCAGGGGTCCTTTAAACACTCAACTTAAACTTTTCAAAGTCCCCCCAAAAAGTCGCTAAGACTCCAAAGTGATAGAATGGTGGCTAGCACGACTGAAAAGGCACTACATTTAGCGACTTTCTCGCTAAGTTAACACCACTATGAAATTTAGCACACGCGTCTTTTAATAAGATGCCTGACGAATGGCTCGTGTTGCCAGTGAAGTCGTCTTGCCTTCAGTTTTGAGCAAGCGCCGCGCAGTGGCGCTCGTGACCGAAGCTATTATCACGCCGTTTTTTACTTGTGGCCCCTAGGGACGCGTCACTCGAGAGTTATTCGAGATCTGCGACTGTGCACGACTATTTCGGAGGCTATGCAAAATGTCGAGTTGTTGCACCGTCCGCAATAGGTGACGCTAAAGATCAAGAGTAATCGGAAATCAAGGAGGGAAAGGGTGTGGCAGCTGTTTTTGTTCTCACGCGGCAGGCATCTAAATAGAAGAGGCGTTGGTTTAGCTTACGTGCAGTATGGTGCACTGTTAGGGGAAAACGCGAGCGCGCGGCCGGCGGTTCACGGAGCGCTAACTGCTGGCCAGATTTGGAAACGCGGAGCATGCGCGCAGAATCGCAAAGTTGGTACTTCCCCGTGTCGTCTGCTGCTTCATCGACCATTGATTTTCATGTCTCTTATCAAAGTCGGCTGGCTGGTTCAAACAGCGTTTGGAAAGCTTACGATTACACTTTTGGTGAGCACAAACCGCTACGCGAGTGATCAGCTTCATTACCTCTTTCACAGAATTCCATAACTGGGGGTGTATTTATTCGCTGATCGCAATTTCAGTGGAGCTAGTTCTTAGAAGGGCATGCCTGAGGACGAAAGACTTCTAATAGTTGAGCTGTACACCAACGAATACAGCCAGCGTGCTGTCACTGTCATCGCGAAAAGGCCACTTCCTCATTACCAGCGGAATCATCCGTATTACGAATGTAATTCTTTTCAGTGCTTAGTTGTGTCACGGGTAGTCCTATTTTGTTTACACAGATATGCATTTCATTTTGTGCTTCACAAGGCACAGATGTGGTTCATTACCTTTGCATTATTCCAGTGTTTAGAGGTTCCGGATCTGACCTCACTCAACCTGTCTGTCACAAAAGATTTAGGAATAAATTTTTCGTTGTTTACTCCATAGTGTTCTACGTACAGCATTTTTCAGCGCACGTATGTGAAACATAATGATTTTTGGAAAAGTTAACTCTATCCCATATTCTAAATAAGGAGCTTCTTACGTACTCGCTTCAACGAAGATAACAAAATGTAACGCAAGCTTGGAACTAACATTTGCTGGGTACTGCAATCAACAACAATTATATAATTCGGTGTCACGCCGTAGTGGGATACATTGAAGTATTTTGAAACATGTGTTTCCTTAACATGTTTGTAAATACAATAAGCACATGGCTTTTCTTTGCATTTCGCCTGTAATCTGAAATCGGCTGCTGTGGCTGTGAATGGAATCGCAACAAAGCTGCCTAGAAAGCACAACAGCAAATGAACAACACTTTTTTCTGTGTGCCCGGGGAGGGCAGGGAGAGTGGTGGGGACTTGAATCGCATCGCGGAAAAGTAAACGCAGTATCCAGGGCACTGCAAGCGCCGGAGCGGAGAGTACCAGATGAAAGGCAACAAGCCCCACCCTTGCGCGTCTATGCGCATGCGCTGCGTTTGCAAATCTCGCCGCCAGTTTGCGCCATGCGGGCCGCCAGCCATGCGTTGCCGTGTGTTCCCTCCAAGAGTGGGCCGTGCTGTACATTTTGGATGTGTTCCGATACTCACTGAGACGGCTAAATAGACAGCTAAATGGACGGCGGCCATCTTAAGTCCCATTCCAATTTTCACGTAGCCGGCAAAATAGACAGCTTCGAGAAGACCGCATCATAGACAAATACGACGCAGGCTACTTTGCTGACTAAACAAGATGGCGGCTCAACGAATCGCTCAGATAGATCAAATCTCGCCAGAATTATCGTCTGCACACAAGCAGACTCTTTCCCAGACGCTCAATCTGAGTAACGTTTATTTGTATTTGATTTCAACAAGAAATGAGCCAGAAAATACAACTGTTACGTTTCTTTACTTTAGCTTTTTCTTATCGACGCGAGGTGGTGCATCGTCGTGTAAAAGCAGTACAGAAGTTTTCCGATTCTTGGACAGTGTGGGCTCGGTGCTGTCTTCTACGCAGTCTGCGTAGACTGTCTACATGCTGTCTAAGAATTGGAACACGGCCTTTGGTTTGCGGTCGGGGC